GTTCCACTTCAATTGTGCTGGGCTCAACGTTACCAACTTCAAGGCATGGTCATCCAATGTCGGTCTACTGTGGTTTTGCGATGCTTGCAGAGTTAACTTTAACCCAACAATCGTTTATCGTGAATCGCACATACTCAGAGCACTGCGTGATCCCTCAATACGAGTAGACTCTATTGACCTTCGGATTGGACAGTATGCTGAAAATTTGAAGACATCATTTCCACACCTGAGAAGGGAATCGAATGTCGATTTGAGATTCCATCAGCATCCAGCTGGTGCTCCCACTGATTTTCACCACAGCATAGATCGGTTAAATCTGAATAGTTCGTTGCATTCTAGCCTAGGGAATATTTTCGGTGAACATGACGAACCCATAACTTCAGAAACCACCGCTGCTTCTGTTGTAAGGCGTTCTGCTGCTCTCACCACCACCACGACCGCCATTCCAACTGCTATCCTTGCCACAACTGTCACTAGATCGAATGAGAATGCCACTTCCGTTGCTACCACTAACAGCTCTACTGCTACATGCACCGTCGCCTCTACAATAACCATGAACACCGCTGCCAAGAACTGCACAACTGTTGCATCAATCACCGCACCTGGAACTGGAACCACGGTTACCTCAACAGCTACCTTGACAAATAACCGAGGGCCTCACGGACAATCTAACCGTTTAAGGGTTGTTTTGAGAAACGAACGTCGAAGGCAGCAAAGCAATACCGACACAATCGAAGTGTTGAAACCATTCTACATTACCCCTTTCCACGTCGAGCAGACTGAAGAAGATGTCCTGGAATACCTCCGCGGAACCTTCAACATCGAAAATTCTACGGTGCGCTGTGTGAAGCTGGTACCTAGAGGCAAACAAGTCAACGAGCTAACCTTTGTCTCCTTCAAAGTATCCGTTTTACCCGACTTGGAAACCACTGTAAGGGGATTCATTCTACTGGCCTGATGGAGTAAATGTACGTGAATTTGAATCAAAAAACGACGCGGCTCCAATCAACCTACGACCACCAATACTTCCACAATAAGTTTATCGATACACTCTACATCAACTACTCGCAACTCTACGCAACTTTCATCTACTCTGGCACGCAACGGTGTTCGCCCTATGGAAGCCACCGATCCTCTCACCACAGTCGTGCCTTTCCTGCCATCGTCCATCAGTCGTCCCGGCCCTGTGTGTGAGTTTGGAAACGTGGTCTTCCAAACGAATACAGCAGGCAAGTACGATTCATTCTTGTTCAGCCCAATTCGTTGCTTGGTTTCAGTACTACACCGTTTAGCCGTCATTATTCAAGACCTTCAACTCAGCATGTTTCACCTCTAGGACGCAACGATACTGGCTACATGGAAGCCCCTAATCCCCCTACCACAGTCGAGCTTTTCCCGTCATCGGCCAACAGTCGTCCTGGCCCTGTGTGTGGGGTCAGAGAAGGGGTCTTCCAACCCGCTATCTTTGGCAAGTACGTTTCTGTTTTAAGCCGTTCAACTTCTGATCAATCTACTGGTTCTAGCGTTGCAATCAACTGTCCCTCTTCAAACGTCAGCGAGTTTAACTATCCAAACAGCATGGTAGTGACCAGCAGCAATAATGATGCAGCTCATTCAGGACACAACTTTCTATCCGTCTTCTACCAGAACGTCAGAGGTCTGCGCACTAAAACGACAGAATTGAAGTTAAGGCTATCGAGCTGCGACTACGATATAATTGTTTTTACCGAAACATGGCTCCGGTCTGATATAAGCGATATGGAACTCACTTCCGACTACTCTATATTTCGGTGTGATCGAAGTGAAACTACTAGTAATTCTTCGAGGGGTGGTGGAGTTTTCGTAGCTGTTAAAAATATTTTGCACTGTACTGCGGTTTCTTTGGACGATTGTAGACAGCTTGAACAAATTGTTGTACGAGTAACACTTCCTCACCATTCGCTGTCGATCATTGGCATCTATCTTCCCCCGAATTCCGACGCAAGTTTATATTCGGCTCACGTTACGGCTGTCCAGAACTTATCGGATCGTTCGTCGGACAATGACATTATTCTACTCTTCGGGGACTACAATCTTCCTCATCTGCAATGGTGCTTCGATGAGGACGTTAATGGGTTTATACCTTCGAACGCTTCCAGTGAACAAGAACTCAATCTCACCGAATCCATCTCTGCGTGCGGGCTGGTTCAAGTGAATTCTTATACGAACCCGAACAGTAAACTACTAGATCTAGCATTCACGAATTCTCCAGATGTCATTGAAGAACTGCGGCCACCACTTCCACTCTTATCCACCGACGCCAATCACCCACCGTTTATTTTACTAGTGGATGTGCACAGCGTCATCATAAACCAACAAATCGACGCGGATTCCGATGCAGTTGACCCAGATTTCAGGCAATGCAACTTTGATTAACTTAATGCCGCGTTTTCGTCGATCGACTGGCAGCTTCTTCTACATGAACACACTGTTGATGCAAACGTTATCTTGTTTTATGACAAGCTGTATGAGATTATTCACTCAATTGTTCCTCGTCGCCGTCGTATTTCAAGTTGCGTCAACAGGAAGCCTTGGTGGATGGCTGAATTGCGAAATCAGCGTATTTAATAGACTGAGGAAAGCACGCAAACGATATTTCGCTGATAAATCGAACGAGAACAGAGATTTCCTTCATCTAATTGAATCATCCTATAATGAACTTCTCTCTTCAAGCTACCAAGTATACATGCGCAAACTTGAATCCAGCCTAAAACAAAATCCGTCGATGTTCTGGGGGTATGTTAAAAAGCAAAAGGCTAGCAATCGTGTACCGAATAACGTTATCTACGGTGATTCCATGGCCAGCACACCTGAAGATGCTGCCAATCTTTTTTCGAATTTTTTTTCAAAGTGTATTCTGTTCAACTTCTCCTGTACCTCGCCCGGATTGTTTCCAACACGTGCCATCTTATGGTATCCACCTTCCAATCTTCAGTTTTTCTTGTGACGAAGTGTTAAGTACGTTGGCTAAATTAGATGCTTCGAAAGGAGCGGGAGTCGATGGTCTGCCACCGATATTAGTGAAGAACTGCGCTGCATCTCTGGTTGAACCATTGACGTTACTGTTTAACTGTTCGTTAGAACATAAAACGTTCCCAAGTTTATGGAAAACCGCGTCAATGATTCCTGTTTAAACAGCAGTTTAAACAATGTGGTAAACTATCGAGAGATTTCAATTCTCTGCTGTCTGGGAAAGGTTCTCGAATCACTAGTGCATAAGGTCGTGCTGAATGCAGCGAAACCGATTATCTCTGAGTATCAGCACGGATTCATACCACACCGGTCTACTACAACCAACTTACTGTACTATACCAACGTACTGTTCCGTGAGATAGAACGTCGCAACCAGGTGGACTCTATTAACATAGACTTTTTGAAAGCGTTCGACACCGTCCCGCATGCCTATGCCACAGAAAAACTGAAACACATGGGATTTCCGGATTGGATTGCGGACTGGATAAGGTCATATCTAACGGGTCGAAAGGCATTTGTGCAAGTGAACTCGTCTCGTTCCAATACGTTCGACATACCATCTGGCGTACCCCACAGGGTAGCGTGTTAGGACCTTTGCTCTTTGTCCTCTTTATTAACGACCTGTGCCTTCGAATATCCTCTGGAAAGCTCCTTTATGCTGATGACCTCAAAATCTTCAGAATTATCGCGTCTGTACTCGATTGTATTGTACTGCAGGCTGACATCGACGTAGTGTCAATCTGGTGCAAAGAGAATGGCATGAGCGTGAACATCAATAAATGCAAAACGATCACATTTAGTCGCTGTTTGTCAACGCTCACTCACCAATATCGAATTGACATTACTCCGCTAGAACGTGTGCAATTTATTCGCGACTTGGGAGTTATAATTGACTCTAAACTTATAGCGAATTCGTTTATTATCGGGGTTGAAACCAGTTCCAACCCGTGCGAACCCGAACTTTTTGTCAGTGCGAACCTCGACCCGTGCCAGGTTTTAAAAACAAACGATCAAACTGACGTTTGCTAGAAAACAAGCAGACCCAATCTTGATACCCGATCCAGGTTGGAACTGAATAATAAACGAATTCGCTATTAGATTCAGTGAACACCATGACAGCAAAAGCTTGCTCCGTACTCGGGTTTATTCGTCGTAATGCTTCTCAACTAACCGATGTGTACGCATTAAAATCACTCTTTTGTGCTTTAGTGCGCAGCATTCTGGAATACGCTGCCCCGGTTTGGGCACCATATCACACATCCCAGGAGATCCGCATTGAACGTATACAAAAAATGTTCATACGATTTGCACTCCGGAACCTACCGTGGAATGATACCGTGAATCTTCCTGATTACGAACAAAGGTGCCTGTTCGGGATGTGTCATGACAGCTCGAAGAAAATTTTTGATTTGAGCTTTTTATGTGACCGGCCTACCATGATCAATTTGGCAACACATTGAAAGCACCGAAGGAGAGGAGAAGATTGGCGCTACCGAGCAAAACCGAGCTATTCATTCGTGCAAGCAGAAGCTCACTAGCGTTCGTCGCGAACAGTTAATTTTTATAGTATTAGCGTAAATATATGAGTAAAGTACAGAAGTTAAGTGTTTTTTTCATCAAAATGTCCTTCCGAAATTCCTCGTGAGAAAATACAGTCCGCTACTGAACATAAAATGGTCCTACCGAACCGGATGTTCGATGAAGTGAAGTGAAATTGAATTTCGGAAGAACTGCGGAAATTGTGAAGACTGGAACTCTGCCACCGGCAGTGAAGACGCCATTTTGCAAGTGTTGGACAAGAAAAAAGACGGCAATGTGTTTGATGAGCGAAAAAGACGCCATCTTATAAAATATCAATCTGAAGAAAATTAAGTGACGTGAGACCACGAGGACACCAATTTCTGCCCAGGCACCGTGATTATAGACTTGGCTGTTTTCCGTGCTTGGTTCGGGCATAAGGCTCGGATTGTTTCGGTGATTCTCTGGTCATGTCAAAGAAAGGTGAAGGAGTGGGTAAACCGACGACTCCAAAAGTGAAGGATAAGAAGAACCATCAAGAAGAGATGGCGAAGGCAGAGCAAGTAGACGTTCTCGTCCACCGTCGCGGTTTGGCTAAAGGTAAGCTAACCAGATTATTTAACTATTTGTTCGACAATGAAGAAGAAGAACCTCAATTAAGTGAGGCCCAGATTCGACACTATCTTAAGAAGCTAGATGCTGTTCAGAAGGACTACAATGACCTAAATGAACGCATCTTACCGTTAGTCCCTGCTCAAGATCTAGCAGACCACGACCAGCACTATGTGCAGTTCGATGAACTTCAGGATAAATTAGCCGTAAAGCTCGAGGAGCAACTAGCTAAGCTGCAAGCTACCGCAGCTGCGCCTGGAGCTACCATAGCCACCGCACATCCTCAAGCTCCCATTATTGTTCACCAACCTCTGAAGATACCAATTCCCACTTTCGATGGTCGCTACGAGAGCTGGCCAAAATTTAAGGTAATGTTCAAGGACCTGGTGGATAAAACTCCTGATCCCCCAGCTGTCAAACTATATCATCTCGACAAAACTTTGATGGGAAGTGCAGCTGGTATAATCGATGCAAAAACCATCAGTGAAGGCAACTACAATCGTGCCTGGGAGATCTTTGAGGAGAGATACGAGAACAAGCGTCATACCATTGACAAACACATTCATGGTTTGCTGAATCTAAAGAGGATTTCCAAGGGAACCTACGAGGAGTTGAGGAGTTTGTTGGATGAATGCTCTAAACACGTCGAGAGTCTGAAGTTCCTGGAGCAGGAGTTCATAGGAGTATCGCAGATCATCTTGGTGCATGTCCTTGCAGCCGCGTTGGACAGAGACATCAGAAGGCGCTGGGAGCACACGGTCAAGCACGGCGATCTTCCCAGCTATGATCAAATGATGAAGTATCTTAAGGAAGAGTGCTTCACTATGGAGCGATGCGATGATTCATCCACAAAGCAGCATCACTTACAAGCTAAACCATCCGCAGTTGCAACCAAACAAAGTCAAAGGTCCCTCACAGCAGTTGGCACGGATTCGGAATCAAGATGTGACTTTTGTGGAAAAGGTCATCTCAATTATACATGCTCGGAGTTCAAAGGATTGTCGATTCAGCAACGAGTAGTCAAGGTAAGAGAGAACAACCTGTGCTTCAACTGCCTAAGGAAAGGTCATCGTGGTAGTAATTGTCCGTCAGACAGAACTTGCAACAAATGCAAGCGCCGGCATCATAGTCTGTTGCACGCTGAGGATAAACCTAAGCCGACACCCGAAGAAGAACAGACCACACCATCAACCCAACCGCAGAAGAAAGAAGAACAACAGCCGAAGCCATCGGAAGAAGCAACATCCGCTAGTTGTAGCAGCGAGAGATTGCCTACCCAACAAGTGCTACTTCTTACAGCAGTGGTGGATATCATCGATGAAAATCAAAAAACCCATCCGTGTCGCGTTTTATTGGACAGTGCGTCACAAGTTAACTTGATTTGCAAGCCAATGATAGAGTTCCTGGGTTTGAAGCGGTTTCCTTCCAACGTCGTCGTTGCAGGAGTGAATAACACGAAGAGCCATGCGTCAAGCAGTTGCGTGGTGCAGATTCGTTCAAGGCATTCTGGTTTCAATGCCAACGTGAAGTGTTTGGTGACTGAAAGAGTAACGGCGGATTTGCCATCTTCCACGGTGAATGTATGCCCATGGGAGATTCCACCTGGTATTCAGCTTGCTGATCCGATGTTCTACGAGACTGGAAAGGTAGATATGTTGCTCGGAAATCAGCTGTTCTTGAAATTGCTACTGCCAGGAGAAACGCATTTGGCTGATCATCTCCCAAGTCTGCGAGAAACCCAACTGGGCTGGGTCGTTGGTGGGGTTTGCGATGACACAATGTCCGATGCAGTAGTCCATTCGCATTCACTTACGCTTGAGGAGTTGGATCGAACTGTCAAGAGGTTCTGGGAAATTGAAGAAGTTGCAGGTGTGAAACTATCCTCGGAAGCTATAGAGTGTGAGCAACATTTTCAAGAAACACACCGTCGTGACGAAAGTGGGAGGTACGTCGTCCAATTGCCTCTCAAGGAGAATGTCAGTAAATTAAGAAGTTCCCGTTCACTGGCCCTTAAGAGGTTTCACAACTTGGAGAGACGGTTAGCACAAGATCCAAATTTGAAGCAACAATACGTCGAGTTCATGACTGAGTACGAGCAGCTCGGTCACTGTGAAGAAATTTCCGAGAGTGAAGTAGTTAAGGATGGTGCGTGGTACCTACCGCACCACGCCGTCTTGCGTCCGTCGAATACTACTACCAAGTGTCGAGTGGTGTTCGATGCATCGGCAAAGGTTAACGACCTTTCGTTGAATGATGTCATGAAGATAGGATCGCTTAATCAGTGTTCTTTGGATGAGATAACTCTTCGTTTCCGAATTCCACATTATGTCCTGACTACGGATGTAGCAAAGATGTATCGTCAAGTGTTCCTTGAGAAGGTACACAGATGTCTTCATCGAGTATTCTTCAGATTGGATCCGTCGCGTCCACTTCGTGTGCTGGAGTTAAAAACCGTAACCTATGGCACTGCTTCAGCACCTTTCCTAGCAACAAGAGCATTGTTACAGGTAGCACTCGATGAAGGGCACAATTTTCCATTGGCAGCCGAAATTGTCAAGAACTGTTTTTATGTAGATAATGCACTTTTCGGTTTCGACGACATTGATGAAGCACGTGAAGCACAGTCGCAGCTGATCCATCTCTTGGAGGCAGGTGGATTTCATTTGCACAAGTGGGCTTCTAACTGTCCAGATCTAGTCGAGCATATACCGGAAGTTGATCGTGAAGAATTGGTGAACATTGAAGGAATTGGAGTGAACGAAGTGATCAAAACGCTTGGTCTGCTGTGGAACCCGTGCTCGGATGAACTGATCTTCGTTGCAAAGCCATTTCCTGAGATAGCAAAGCCGACGAAGCGTCAAGTACTGTCGTTAGTTGCAAGTATGTTCGACCCTCTGGGGTTAGCTGCACCGGTGATTGTCGTTGGGAAGATGCTGATGAAGAACGTTTGGAGTGAGAAGATCGATTGGGACGAAGAATTAAACAGTGAATTGGTCAAGAATTGGGAATACTTCTTGAAATGCTTAAGTGGTGTGAAGAAGATCCGAATCCCTCGTCGAGTGGTGTCATCTGATGCTATTGCCTTTGAGATCCATGTTTTCGGAGATGCGTCCTTGGAAGCTTACGGAGCCTGTGTTTACATAAGATCAATTATTCCTGGAAAGTCCCATGAGATGAAGATGTTGACTGCAAAGTCGAAGATAGTGCCGAAGTCAGTACTGACGGTTCCGCGAAAAGAACTCTTGGCAGCTGTGTTGTTGCATCGTCTAGTGAAGAAAGTGTTGGAAACTTTGAAACTGCCTTTCCGGAAAATAGTGTTGTGGTCAGACAGCCAAATCGTGCTAGCGTGGCTGAAGAAAAATCCCGAACAGCTGGAAGTGTTTGTAAGAAATAGAGTTGGTGAGATTACTGCTACCGGAAATTGCTTTTCGTGGAAATATGTGAACACTGCAGAAAATCCTGCTGATATAGTGTCCCGCGGGCTTTCTGCCGAAATTTTGGCCACAAGTGATCTGTGGTGGAACGGACCAATGTTTTTGAGAAGTGAAGAATGTCAAATGGATGTTCCTGAACCGTTGCCAGATGAAGATATTCCCGAACTCAAGACCATGGTTGTCGTTAGTGCCACAGTGGAACTCGAACTGTTACCTGTGTTTAAACGATTCGAGAGTTTCCGGAAACTGCAGCGCGTTGTAGCATATGCACTGCGCTTTTGCCGGAACTGCAAGGAAAGAATTAAGGAGAAGCGTGTGCTATCGATATTTCCAACTATACCTGAGATGCAAGATGCAATGAAGGTAATAGTTTTTGTGGTACAGCGTCAAGAATTTGCGGAAGAGATCATGAGGATGAAATCAGGTGAGTCCCCCAAGAAGCTTAAATCCTTGAACCCATTTTTTGATGGTGAGCTATTGCGGGTTGGTGGTCGTCTGCGCCATTCGCAATTACCGTACCTGAGCAAGCATCAGTGGATCTTGCCAAATAGAAGCCCCGTGGTTCAAAGTTATATACGGTGCATCCACCGGGAGAATCTGCACATCGGACCAACTGCGTTGCTAGCAACCCTGCGAAGACAATATTGGATTATTAATGGACGATCTACGGTACGTAAGATTACGCGTGATTGCGTTAAATGCTTCAAGGTTAATCCCACTGCCGCAGAGCAATTCATGGGAGACCTTCCTTCAAGCCGCTGTGACAGAGCTCCAGCATTCCAAAGGGTGGGATTGGACTTTGCCAGCCCTTTTCTAATCTAGCAAACCAGTAGAAAGGCTGCTCCAGTAAAGGGATATGTTTGCGTATTCGTGTGCTGTTTGTGATGACTTCGATTTTAATTTAACTAGGCTCTGTTTTAAAAATAGGTTAAGAGTAAATGTGATAGGTTAAGATTAGTCTGTGCGAAACCGTCGAAGACTGAATAAATAAATAAATAAGTAAATAAATTACGACCAAACGGTCCTTTTAAGGATCACCATAAATTATTGTTGTTTTAGAGTTCATTTTCATTGAATAAAGGTAGGTACCGTCCGGTAGGCTCGTATTCTGTGATTGATGTGCTTGCTTGAATCCAAAACATGTAGTCTAGGATTGGCTTGTACTATATGAACATCGACAGAGCACCTCACAATAGAACTCTCAAATTGCTTTTTAATTTCAACTTATTGAAATTTTTCACTGATAACGAGTTAAGAAATCAATTTAATATTTACTATACTTTTGCTATGCCATCATAAATACCTTTCGTAATCCTACGTCAAATCTACGGTCGTGTTTTGGATACAACCGCTTACTTTTTTTTAAACAACAAGCACAAACCTAACCGATACTAAACATAAATTAATCCATGCAGAAGCAACTTTTTGAAACGTTGCTCTATCAATAACTGAAACAACCAATTATTCAAGTTTCCGTGGTGTAGTGGTTATCACATCCGCCTAACACGCGGAAGGCCCCCGGTTCGATCCCGGGCGGAAACAAATATTTTTACCCCCCATCCTCCTAGATCCCTCATACTCTTTCTAATGACAAAAAACTAAAGATCTGTTACTCCTATTAAGTAATAATTGACATAATTACGCCTTTTTGTAACTGTAAACGATCCAAAACCGCAACTACCTGCCGACAGATCAATCTTTCTTGCTTCCAACGCAAACTCCCTCGAACATACCTCGACGAAAATTTCTGCTACATCATTTGAACACGAATTTGTAACATTTCACTTAAGGTTCAAATGAGACGTTTAACAAACGTGTGAGCATGTAACGACACAACACTCACACTGACGGGCACTGAGATGTGCGTCTTTCGCTCGCCTCTTCTCATGTCCCCTCGGGGAGGTGTTGTACATCATCATATTTAGCATTCACCTTACCACTCGACCAACGATTGAAAAAGTAGACTTAGAAGGAAGATCCCCCTCTCGTCTACTATTCGTCTGCTTGCTCAACGTATAATAAGATTCATTTCACTCACCGCGTGTTCTTTTTTGGCTACCTAGTAGCTAGGTAGCTGCGGATCATCTGGTAGCAAGCACCTGGTGTGTGTGTGTGGTGTGGGAGGGAAACACGTGAGGTCTCTGCACGGGGCGGTCAAAAATCCGTGTAAACGGTGATGTTGTTTCGACGAAACAATTTTGTTCGACTTGGCGCTGGTGGTGGCATGGCACAGATCTTTCGGTTCGACAGGCAAAGAGCGGAAACGCGAGGACACGCAAGGCGACGATGGCGACGACGACGTTTGGGTTGAAAACAAGCTTCCCAAAAGGAACGTAATGAGATGAAATGTAACTCGCACCGAATTCAAACAGAATAAATACATGGTCGAGGAATTTGGAACGAGGGCTGCTCAGGGGCGGGGAACAGTAGAGCTGTGGTTAGAAAATTGAATCAAATCAGCGAGGTAAATAAAAATAAACACTGGTGAAACCGTGCAGTGCAAGATTCTGCTTGCGATTTGGTATATTTAGATGAAAATTTGGCGTGAAATCCGGATAATAACAGTTCATAATCATGTGAATTGCGCTGTTTATAAAAGTTATGGCACATTTCAAATAATCTTGAAATAATTTGATATTATTCGATCATATTTTACAAGCTATTAAAGGTTCTTTTCAACATTGTGGATTGTCATATCCATGCATTGAAATAATCGAATTAACAATAATTATTAAGTGAATTATTTATCAAAATATCCCAGATGACTAACAGTCTTAATTTGATAATGTGACCTGTGAAACCATCACCCATCAAACTTTCTACTTCGGATATTCCATTCAAAATCGGATAATAGACCCTCAACAGCTCGACATCTCGGCCCGTTAGTTTTAATTTCTTTTCAAACGCGTCTTCCTTAATTTGCAATTTCCTGTGTACCCACTCCCAACAAAGAATGCCAAAACCGCGTCTGGCCATAATAACCGGCCCGTTTTATTACGCTTCCTTGTCCAACGAAAACACGTGAATGTCGTCATCATCCTCATCATCAGATCAGAGGAAACCAAATTGGGCCACCCACACTTGCGCACGGTGGCTCATCTTACACTTATGGCAACCGCGCAGTGTCCGCCATGATCGTCGTCGCCGTGGCCAAAAACGATCAATAAATCACCTCGCGAGGGGTCCATTGCCCATCTCCCGCCAACCCACTGACCGGCTGGTGAAAGTCTGCTCAAGTCCCAAACGCGCGCACATATTAAGCTTAATTCAGTCTTTTTAACGTCCAATTACCGGCTCAAACAAATCACTTAACACACTGCCGGTTGGTTGACTGCTGGTCGGTGCGCAATGCATTATACCTACACACATAGCAGACTAGCCGAAAACTCATCGTCCGTCCCTTGGTTGTATTCGCAGCTTAGCGCGCTGCTTGAAACGACGACGTCGCGTGCCTCTCAGCAGCACAACCGGAGCTGGTTGGAGCTCCCGGTGGGGCAGATTTCGAAACAGCCAGTGCACCCGGATGGACTCAAAGTCGCTCAATTGCAATTGCACCATCATCGTCGGTAGACGACGGACCAGCACTCAGCAGCTCACAACGGGGGAACCATAATGCAATGCGTTGATGAGACTTAGTTTGTTTACCAATGCGATGAAATGTAACCGTCGGGGCTAACAAGTGTCGCATAAATGTACGTTATAATTGCCACGTATATTATCCGGTTAAAATTGTAATAGTGAACTCATTTACTGAATGTATTCGTATTACACCCCACGCTTAATTCCATTTCTGATATAACTGGACCATTCTTTGGGGATCCTCTTTACTTGGAATAAGTAACCAGAAAGCACTAGCACACATTTGAGGAAATAATTGGCTCATGAGGTCGTGTTGCCAAAAATGGGAAAGCACTGTATTACGTGCGCTGCCATCGAGATCGAATTGGCCAGAGCTTTATCGGAAATTGGAATGAGAAGTTAGGTTCTGAAACCTACTTACTGACCTACCCGATGATATTTATGTGTCCTAGTTCGTATCAGATTATCTTTTGATAAGCTGCTTTCGATATTATTGATATACGGCCTAGTATCTTAGTATCAGCTTGAACATGGGTGATTTATCCTAAATGATTTTAGGAAACCTTGCTCTATAGAATTATGGATGCCGCACAACAAAAAAGCAGTAAAAAAGAATTATCCTCCCCGACGGGGAATTGAACCCCGGTCTCCCGCGTGACAGGCGGGGATACTGACCACTATACTATCGAGGATTTGCTGATTAAGTTGACTTTCATAACTAATTTCAATACTATTTCGTAGTTATATGGATTTCATGACAGACAATCTTAATTTTGACAGTTTCTAAACCAATGGGTCACGGTTTGCCCTCAGATGGGTTGCAAAGATTCAGTTCTAAATTTATGTTTAAATTCTTCAAATTCATGCTAAAAAATACTTGTTTTTGAGTTAAAAATTACTATACGTCGTTTGGTGGCCCCCTAATGTTACTTAAGTCAAAGTGTATTTACCAGGATATTCGGGAGAACTATCGATCACGTCTCCTTACCTATCAGTTTAGGACCACCGAAATCATCTTAGCAACAAACAGTTTGATTTATTCACTTTAATTATGAGAAAGCAAAACGACGAACGTACACTTTTCACGAGTTTCTTTGCGCTGTTACTTAAGACAAACGGCATCGTCATAGAAATCGGGTGACTTATGTAACATCGAAACATATTTTGATCGAGAGGTGATAGAGTCAAAAAGCAATTTGACTGGTAAATAAATTTAAAAATGGGATGTGATCCTATATTCAGAAATAGCAGGAGCACCGTTTGACACTGATAGCTCGACTTTGTTTACCTTTGTTACTTTCGTCGTAATGAAAATTTGCTCTTGAATTGTTCTTTTATAACGATTGATTAATTGATAATTTACAACCAAATTGATAGTTGCATTGGATTTTTGTTATACAAATTTTAGCCTCTTAACCAAGGAATCAAAAATATCTCCAAATGATAAAATGACAAGCGATCAACGAGCCGAACGATCACGCTTTGTCAGTATTGAATCATCAATACTGACAAAGCGTTATCGTTCTTCCTTTTTTCATGACAAACAGCCTCGGCAACACTACTCGCTCGGGCCAGTAGAAGGAAACGGACAAATTTTTGGCAAGCTGCTTCACGAAGTAAAGCCGAAGATGATACACGTCTGTTTCGAGTCTGCATCGTGCTCTCTTGCTATTTTCTTTTTGCTGAAGGAAGTGTTACTACTACCTAAAGCTACAACAAATTTAAACAGCACTTTTCAGTGCTCAACCTGTAAAATTTCTACCTTGTTCAACTCTTATTCCTCTTCACCTTGTTTGGACCCTACCCAAGGTAATCCTTCTTGGTGCTTGATTTGGAAAATTCCTCTTTGATCCTTCAGATTCTTATAGTAATCTGCTTGGAAGTCGATTTGGATAAAAAATTTACTGCTGCCATGGAACCTAAGCGCAAAAGAAAAGGGCAAACTCTTGATCCTCCTTCTGATGAAACTAATTTGAGTAATCAATTTGATTTGCTCACGGATGATGAGAATGATCCATCATCCAAGAAAAGTATTCTAGTAAACTTTCCCGGCCTGATGCCAAGAAGGAAAAGATTCCCCCTATTGTGATAACCACTTCTGATTTCCATGCTCTTCGCATGGAACTTTTGAACTTCGTGAAAGTTAAATTTTCACTACAAATTAGACGTCGGGGTGAATGCCGTGTATTGGCTGAAACCTTGGACGGATTTAAATGTCTTCTCAAGTATCTTACTGAGAAGCAGTGCACATTTTTTACTTACGACACCAAAATTGAACGTGTGTTCAAGGTTGTCATGAAAGGACTGCCCAGTGAAAATCCCTGGATCAGATATAAGATGAACTGGCAAAATTATTTGGAGTTGTGCCACTCCAAGTAATCAAAATGAAAATGAAATCCCGTCCTGGCGATCTGCGCAACGGGATTTCTAATGATTTTTATTTAGTTCACTTCAAGTCTAGTGAACTAAACAACCTTAAGGTCTTGGAAAAAGCTAGCCTTACGCTCCATGTCCGAGTGAAGTGGGAACACTTCAGGAAGACTGGAGGAAATTTCCAAAACCTCACCCAGTGCCGTAAGTGCCAGGGATGGGGTCACGGAACTAAACATTGCACCATCCCAGCTAAATGCTTGAATTGTGGTGATTCCTCTCACGCAAAGGACGACTGTCCTGTAAAGGAAGATCCTAAGAAATTTAAATGTTCAAATTGTGGTGAAAACCACAAATCCAATTTTTGGGAATGTAAGACTCGCAAAGCGATCCTACAATCTCGTTCTAAGCGACAGGTAGGAAACGCTCCACGTTCCCGAACAGGTACAAATTCCTCTGCTGTTAACAACGGTCAGCGAGGAACAAATTCTACATTCGTACCCGTAGGTACAAATATCACCCCTGCTTTAAATTTTTCATCTATACCTACTCCCCTTGCTGCTCACAATGTTCAGCGAATTAATGGAGCTACCTATACTGCTATTGCAGCGGGTAGAAATCAAAATACTAACCAACGTAATTCTAACGGAAATTTTGACAATTTTGACTTAGGAAGCATTACTGCCCCTAAAATGGAATTTTTACAGAAATCATTATTTGACATCAGTGCTGAGATTTGTCATTGTCATTGACAGACTTTCGCGCGATATTGACAAAATTGTTCGTCACATAGTCACTGACAGACTTGATCCTCAAAAAAACCTTCGTCAAAATCTCACTCGTTTTTTCGTCAATGACAAAGATTCACCTGGTAACAAAAAGTGTAATTTAGTACATTCTGTGTCACATTATTGTTATCCAAGTAGCTCAGGACGTAGATACTTGTTCACTAAAATGGATCCATGTAATTGTTTTGCTCAAGTCATTTAATTTCGTTACACATTTAGCTAATAAACAAATCTGCACATGTTCGTCACTGACACCATTGTCATTGACAATTGACATGGTTTGCCTTGACTATGACTCTTAGCTAAAATGAGTGACCAAAGCAGAATTGTCAATATCACCGTGTACTGTCGAGATTTTGCAGCACTGATTGACATGATTTCTGATATGCTTAAATCTAACTCCATGTTTGATGCTATTCAAACTGGAGTAAAATTTGCAAACAATATTGTCATGACTTTAAAATACAGCAATGGATTTTAAAGCATTCAATATTTTAAATTGGAATGCTCGATCTCTTAAAGATAATGAAGACGAACTAGTTAACTTTATGAGAGTTCATAACGTGCATATTGCCGTTATAACTGAAAAGTTCCTTAAACCTGACCATAAGGTTAAAAGGGACGCAAATTATTTGATTTATAGAAATGATCGTCTTGATGGAGCATGTGGTGGTGTTGCCATCATTGTTCGTCTATGACGAATCAAACATAAAATTCTTTCTTCATTTGAAACCAAAGTTTTTGAAACTTTGGGAATTTCTGTTGAAACAAAATTTGGACAACTTACGTTTATAGCTGCCTTTTTGCCATTCCAATGCATAGGCCAGCAAAAGAATTTTCTCAAGGGTGACCTTCGGAAACTTACCCGTCATAGGTCTAAATTCTTCATTATTGGTGATTTTAATGCAAAACACCGCTCATAGAATAATGCTCAAAGCAATTCCAATGGTAATATTCTAACAGCACAACATGCTTTTCTTCAGCAAGAAATCCCTCCACTATTGATTTGGTCTTAACTGATTCATGTCAACTTTGTAGCCAATTGGTTACCCATGCTGACTTCGGTTCTGATCACCTTCCAGTAACTTTTGAAATATCCCAAGAAATAATTTGTAATCCCAACAGCTCTACTTTCAATTACCATAGAGCTGATTGGGAGCAGTATCGAACATTTATGGAATATAACTTCGATCCAAACATTCCTTTGCAAACCAAAGATGAAATTAATTATGCTCTTGAATCTCTGACTACTTCTATAGTTGAAGCAAGAGCTGCCTCAGTACCAAAATGCGAGGTTAAATTCGATTCAATTATAATAGACGACGATCTTCAGCTCTTGATCCGTCTTAAAAATGTCCGTAGGAGACAATATCAAAGAACACGCGATCCTGCCATGAAAGCTATCTGGCGGGATTTGCAAAAACAAATTAAAAAGCGATTCTCTGCCCTGAGGAACAAAACTTTTGAAAATAATGTTTCTAAATTAGACCCGAGTTTCAAACCCTTTTGGAAACTCACAAAAATTTTGAAAAAAACCTCAAAAGCCTATTCCAGCACTCAAAGAAGGTGGTAAAATTTTGATCACAAATTTGGAAAAAAAGCTCAGAAACTTGCTAAGCAATTCGAAAGTTCCCATAATTTCAGTTTGGGTCTTACTAGTCCTATCGAGAATCAGGTTGCTCGGGATAATCTGAATATTTTCTCTTGGGAAAATATTTTTGATGTTTCCTGGGGGACTGATTTGAACAAAGTAAGGTCTATAGCAAAAAAGTTTCATAATATGAAAGCTCCAGGTGATGAAGGAATTTTCTATATCCTCATCAAAAAACTCCT